AAGACAAATCTCAGTGCGGAGGAAAGTAAGAAGGCGGCCGTCCTAATTCAGGTCGGGATTCTCTCGCCATCTCCCCTCTCGAACTGCCAATGGTTGACCCGCGCCCCAGAAAACCTACAGAGGTCACCGTGCGCGTCGCCAACTTAATGGGTTTGGCTTGGATGCCTCTACGCGGTGGTATGAGGTTAGTCACGACCCGTTAGTCGTGCTGCAGCCCTGACCGAGACAAACGTGACAGGCGGTGCGAGACGCCCAATTCAAAGCACACACGTCCCCCCAACCGCCGTCCTCTTCTCTCCATGACACAGACACGGCCCAGGGCACCACATCTCCTGCGAGGCTAAAATGGAGTCGAGCCGCCGAGGTTGCTCGCAGGGCCGGCGCCGACGATCGTTCCCCCTCCGTCTCAGACTTCTCCTCCGATGAAGATACTCAAAGCGCCGTGGACTCTGTCGCAGATATGACCCAAGAAGAGAGGGAAGCGGCCAGAAGGAAACGAGCCGAGGCCAATGTCATGAGGAAGAAGACTGCCAAGATGATGGATTTACAATATTTCCTTGAGATGGTCGACCAAAAACATCGTTATGGGAGTAATCTGCGAAAGTGAGTGGCTCTTCTACCCGGACTGTTGGATCACTTTACCACAAGCTCACGCTACTTTCTCAGATACCATGCATATTGGAAGACACAAGACACCGATCAAAACTTCTTTTACTGGCTCGACCAAGGCGATGGCAAGAATGTGGACCTCCCAGAGTGTAGCCGGGAACGGCTTGACAAGGAGCAAGTGCGATATCTGTCACGCGAAGAACGTCTAAATTATCTCGTCAAGGTCAATGAAAAAGGATTGCTTGTCTGGGCCAAGAATGGTGAACTTGTTTGGACCAAGGATGAACTTTTCAAAGATAGCGTCAATGGGATCGTCCCCATAGATGACTCGGCGCCGAAATGGAGGTATAACGTGCCACCGCCAGGCACGAGTGAATCCGAGGGCAGCTCTTCGGATGAATCAGAGGATGAAGACGAAAATACGGCGGGTGATGAAGGGGAAAGATACGTCAACGAAGAAGTATGTGTCTCCTTCAATCACTTTGACTCCTAAACGTTGCTGATCAGAGACCAGTTCCATCGAGCCAGAGGGTTGTCCAAGGTCAAGCATGTCAGTGCAGCAGTGTTGTTCAACCACATGATCAGAACAAGCCTGAAGAAAGGACATAAGTGGATATTCGTCTGCGATACTTCGTTTCGACTGTACATTGGGTACAAGCAGTCAGGGGCGTTCCAGCATTCATCATTCTTACACGGTGCACGTATCCTGGCGGCAGGGTTGATCAAAGTCAAACATGGGCAATTGAGACGGCTGTCGCCCTTGAGCGGGCATTATCGGCCACCGGCGGCGAATTTTCGAGCCTTTGTGCACAGCCTCCGAGATGAAGGTGTCGACATGTCGCATGTATCCATCTCCCGCAGCTATGCAGTCTTGGTCGGTCTGGAGAGTTACACCAAAACTCGCAAACGCATCAAGGCAGTCAGCGAGAGCGTCGTGCATGAGAAGGATAAGTTGCTCAATCCAGAGAAAGTCGAGATGGAAGAAGAGGCAAAGCGGGACAAGTCTCAGAGCGCGGAGAAGGAGAGGCTGTACCTGGAACGGCAACGCGAGGCTCAGGAACGGGAAGCGCGCGAACGTCGCAAGGCCAAGCGTAGCTTGACGGGAAGATTCTCCAGCGCTTTGGGGAAACTTGGACTTCGCAAAGACAGTAGCGATGATGGCCCAGCGGATGAGCAACTGTCAAAACGGATACCAGGAACAGGGCCGGAAGATGGCGTACCTCCACCAGAAGGCCACCGCTGATGGACACATGCTGGATACGTGTCGTCTATCACAACGAGCACTTGCTTGAGGTTTAAATGTGGGTGACCAAAGAAGGTGGTTATTCCCTTGTGCTCTCTAGCTGTCATAAATTCTCCGAATCCGACGTATTGCTGCGGTCGTGCCTCGGTCACTCACCAATCACAGCGTGCGCCTCACATCAAGCGCAGGCATCAACATTTTCCATTGGGCTCTCCTCAATACCTGCCCACGGCTGGCTGCTACAGGTCCAATTACCACACCTGGGCACCATGCACTATACAGAGTGTGATATAGCGAACGAACTATGACTTCCCTGGTGACGCGAGCACCGGCCGCTGCCAATATCCCTGTCCCACGACGCATACCGCAGCAGGATCAAGATGTCTATATAATGGGCTCCTGATTCTCCTGATCGCCTTGCCTCGCCATTGATGGACTTGTAAGGTTTCCTTGATTCGTTTTGGCTTTTCCACTAATCTCCTCCCGCCATGGCTAAGATCATCATCATCGGAGCTGGCATCTCAGGCCTGAGTACATACCTGTTCCTGCGCAAACACTTGGTGCTCTCCAATCACCGTTCTGCTGCCCGAGCAGAACAACGACAAGAATATGAGATCAAGATCTACGAAGCCCACGACATTCGCCAATCCCACTTCAATGTCTCCTTGGCGAATGCTGCCACGAACCACGACTCGGATGACGAGTCAACCACGAATGCACTCCCAGCAAACGAGGTAGATCCGATTTTCACTCCACAAGCGATCGGGGCTGCAATCGGCATTGCGCGCAACGGACTAGACGTTCTTGCTCGCCTAGACGAAAGTGAGGACCAGCAGGCGGATATTCAGGATCTGCACTCCTGCAGCTTGATTGAGGAAATGGCCGTGCATGGGCATCCGATCGAGCGGTGGGAACTCAGCGCGGCACGAGGTTTCAGACTCGGTGTGGTCGAGCTCGCACGGCCAGGAAATACCGCCGCGCGATCGTCTCTCGACAACCACAAGCAGACAAGAGCTGCGGGCACTGTAGGTCGAAATTCGGGTCCCTACCACGGAATCATGATCGCACGGCAGTCGTGCTGGGAAATCCTCCGCGACCGCGTCTTGAGGGTAGCTCCCGACGTGATCATCCGCAAGAAAGCCGTCGACGTGGTCATCGGTGATGAACAAGCACGTAACGTCGTCAAGTTCGAGGACGGCTCCGAGGAAGAAGCCGACCTTGTCATTGGAGCTGACGGGCTCAGAAGTGTTGTGCGACGGGCGATGTTTCGCAAGAAAGAGGATGAGGGCGAGGGTGAGCGTGAGGGTGTTCATGCGACGACAACTCATGGAGCGTTGAATGCTCGTGAGCAGGAGCCGAACAGCCAGACCAGAGCAGGTTGGCTGCGAAAGATTCTCTCTAACATCCGCATCCAGTTCTTCAACCTTGGAGGCCGTGCAAACCAAAAGGACACTGACTCTGACTACATTTCACCGCACTATGAGGGCCTAGTCGGCGTCGGGGGCTTTGTGCCTTCATCTGTGCTGCAAGCCACCGGCCACAAGCCCGGCAGCATGACCGTGGTGTTTGGGCCGAACGGGTTCTTTGGGTACGGGTACTTGACCTCCTCGTCCACATCATTGCCGCCATCACCGACCTCGTTGCCCAACAACACCACAGATACAGAGACCCCTCCATCGATAGATCCCAACTTGCCGATTCCTGCCCCAGGACCACTGGCAGGGTGGTGGTCCACATGTTCCAGCCCAAACCCATTTCCCTACTCGACTCCTTCATCCAGAATCCCAACATCGTCTTCAGAAAATGTTCCGGACACACATACGAGCACAAGCACAGGCACGAGCGCAGGCGCCGACAAGGATATCGAGCCAAGGACGACCCGCAAATCCACCGACTTCAATAAGCAACTCGCGCTGGCCGCGCTCCTCGACCGACACAGGACCTGGCACAACCCGGCCATCCAGGCGATTTTGTCGTTTGTGCAACAGGACACGGAACAGCAACACCAAGATCACAGTCACGGTCGAGATCACGGTCAAGATCAAGATGAAGATGCAGAGCCACGAACCCAAAACAATCACAATCACAATCACAATGGCTTCCTGACCGGAAAGGCTCTGGACGCAGCATATCCGACATGGACGACGCCCGAGCTGCCGTACTGGTCTCTTCGCGGCCGGGCCGTGCTGGTCGGCGACGCCGCGCACGCGCTGCAGCCGTCGAGCGGGCAAGGGGCGAGCCAGGCGCTCGAGGACGCCGAGGCGCTGGCGCTGTCATTGCGGGAGTATTATCTGGCCACGACAGCGACAGCGATAGCGGCTCCGAATCCGAATCCGAATCCATCCAGTCACACTGACACAGGCTCCAACCCTAACCCTGGCACTGATACCGATACCGATACTACCGGCCCATCTCTCACCACCGCCCTGCGCGCCTTCGAAACCAGCCGCATGCCGCGCGTGCACGCCGTCCGCGTCCGCGCCCAGCGCACCTCGCGCATGAAAGCCGACATGGGCGTGCTGGCGGAGTGGGCCATGTACGCCGCCATCTATCTGGGGTTGTTGTTTCGCAGCAACGAATAAAAACAGACATGTCGTTGGGGGCGGCGTGAAGTGGCGAGGAACAAGTAGGAAGGATGGCGAGGACGAGGATGGAGACAAAAAGGATGGGTCGCGTCGCCTTTAATACTACCTATGTACGTGCCTATACGTACCTATCGTATGGTGGTAGATAGCTAAGGTATGTAGAACGTACATCCTACTTGCAAGTGTGGCGATGGCGACTTAGATCAATCAGACCCTGTCCACCTTCCGGGATAGAAATCCTGCATTCCTCTCCTGAAAACCTAGCACAGACCGAGTCCGTACACTTCTCTGTCTTTGCACAATCGCGAGGCATGTCAATTCGAAAGGAACGAATCTCCTCCGCTAACAATTGGGTGTTAACAGAAGTTTTCATTCCGATGAGGGCGTGTTATCTGCTCTTCCAAGAATTTTCGACTGCATACTACAGGTCTACGACCACCACCAGCTCCAGAACATGTAATCTAACCGTCACCTCGTCATCTTGTCCTTGGCCGTCATGCCTATCCGTATCCATAATACTTCACAATCCGCAGGCATCACATTGCTCAGTCATAACCCACGGTTTACACCGTATCTGCCTTATTCGCTCCCTCCAATTCAGTGGCAAACAGTCCAATACTCTCATCCACATCATCCGACTCAAAATCCCATTCCCAATCGACCCATTCCTCATCGGTGGGTGTGTCTTCCAGCAAGACGGCCTCCGAATAGCGTTCGCTACAGGTGAAGTACCCTTCATCGGGTGAGCCCGAATCAGCCTCATCCTCTGCAAGGCCTCCGTGGCACTGAACCTGGGCATAAAGTACTGAACTCGGAGTCTCGCTAGAACTCGACATATATCTCCTAGAATTGAGACCGACATCATTGCCTGGTGGCTCGGGAAGAGGTAGACCCAATTGGCCACCCACATAGGGTCCTAGCGTATTCAATCCTGCCAACCAGTCCGCCATTCTGAGAACAGCCGATATGTCACTGTCGCGTCTGTTTCTCGCCTCAACAGCTGCAGTTGACAGTGGCCACGCAATGAGTTGGTGCTGGTACAGTCGTGCCGGAACCAGGTCCATGCATGGTGGAATGACAACCTTGATTGCAGCGCCAGGATATGGCCCGTCCGAGGTGATTGTATCATCTCTGCTATCAAAGGATCCTCGAGTGGTCTGCGCTTCGCTGGTACTGCAAGCTCCATGGACAGCTGCCTCTACCGCGTCTGAAATAGACGGGGACCGAGTGGTGTCAACTAGATCTCGAGATGATGGCAACCCTCTGCCTGCTCGCTCCCAACTTCTGGCAGCTTTATTTCCGCTTGGGTGAACAATGTTGTTGACGCTGCAACAAGCAATCAACGCGTGGTCAAGGTTGATCGGAGTTGGCAGTGTGGGAAAGATTAAATTGTCCTCAGATGGTGCGACATCGGGTGGCACACCTATTTCTTTGCTATACGAGACCCTTGGCATGAAAAAATCATGATACCATGGAAAGTCAAGGCCCATGGGAGTAACGAGACTATTTCTGTCGACGTCCGCGATGAGTGAATATTCTTGGTTGGGCCGCGTCAATTCTCGGGAGTCAAGGTCATCGCCTGACGAAAGAACATCGCCATGAGTTGAAGAATCATGGCTGCCGTCCGAGACGTGACTTGCTTCTGCTTTGTGCCGGGAGGATGCAGCCGTGCAAACAGCAAACCCCAAGCTTTCATTACGTTGCATATGTGTACGCTCGTCCAGAGCAGCACCACACACGACGGGCCGGTAACTGGTAAAGTCAGGTTCTGGCTTTTGCTGGCCATGGGCGAACTTGAAGGACGGGACGTTCCAGGTCAACCAAGGATTGTCAGAGGGAGTAATGTATTCGAATTGTGAGCTGTGGTATAGCAATGGACTTGGAATCCTGACATCATTGAGGTAGTCTGAGTGGTATTCTGGCGGACATCGATTCCTTGAAGGCTCCAAATGGCAACTGGGGAGCTGGATGCTTGTGCGTGCCTTTGCGGTCATGAGAATGGGAGGTAGCGGTGAGGGATTTTCAGTGAGGTCTGCTTCAGAGAGGCTTCGCGTTCCCTTTCTCTTGAAGATGACTTTTCCGCCTCCTGTCTTGGGAGATATCGTAGGTGAAGGTCTTGCTAATGCGCCAACGGCAGAGAAGTCGAGCAATGGGCATGGTTCTTCTGCGGCTATGCTTCGATCGGTGATGCTGTCATCGGAAAACCAATACAGGGTTTCTAAAAATAAGAGTCAGCACAGCGTCAGTATCGCGAATACTTCAATCATACCATCATGGTTGATGTCAAGACCGACACGAACATCGGGATCGAGATGGTATCCTCGGTCCTCACAAACATAGTAGCACCTGTCAAGATCCGAGGAGTCCTGTTCACGCAGCTTTCTTCTTTTCGGACCCCGTCGACGGGATGTCTTCAACTGTGGCGGATTCGGCTTAGGAAAGCGTGCCCGGTGTCTGATTCGACGATCTCCACGTGCAGTTCTTCGGTATGTTGACCTCGTAGAAGAAGGAAGTTGAGTAGCCATAGGTACGGTGTGCGCAATAATAAGAATATCCCACGCAATAGATCTTAGGAACGCGTATGAGCTAGGAAAAGGTAATTGAGGAAATGAGGAATGGCAAGTGTGGTAAGTCGGTCAGATGCGAAGCGAGAACAATAACAAAGGGGGAGAGGGACTGTTCAGCTCTTGTCATTCATGGCAGGTGCAAAAACATGAAATTTGTGTACATTCGGAGGCAGTCGCAAAGGGCATTAGTGGAAGGGTACAAGTGGAAAGACATCGTTGAACCCAGAGAAACATTCCAATATCAAACCACACTGCCAGACTGCAATGGAGGCTCATGGGCCTTCCTTTTCACCTTCTCCACCAGCGTCTCATCCTCGTGCTGAGCATTGAGGCCCGTTTCTCTTGCGTGTACCTTTTGTATCCTGCGCAATATCCAAAAGTTATAGCACCCGAAAAGAATCCCTGCCACCCCAACGCAGGATCCTGTCACGATAGCAGTGATTTTCGCCGTCACACTCCATACACCATGCTGGGCAGTATAGACGTTGACGAGAGTTGTGATCAAGCCGGCGACGGAGTTCAGCGTGACTGGTCTATCATCATCCCGTCAGTGTATCCCTGGGAACGCGAGTGAAGATCTCACAGAAAGATGCGGTTTATCAGCCAGACATAGTTCTTGCGCCAACGAAGCCACAGCCAGAGGCATCCCAGAGTCCCAACGACACAGAACGCGCCAGATAGCCACAGCAGACCAATATGCGCAATCGAGTGCACAATTGCGTGAGCAACCTCGTTAGCGTCATCATCGTTGTCGGCATCTTGGAACGCCTTTGAATTCTTGAAAGTTGTAAAGGTACCGGGGACGACGAGAAAGCCCGCGAGCAAAATCCAGGTGAACAGGCTGGCCAGAATATTGTATAGCCGAGGAATTTGATCTAGGTGTAACAGCATCTCCATGTATCGTGTCTGGATAGAAGGGACACGGGTCAGGGTTGGTTTGGAAGACAGCGTTTCGGCGCGGGTCAATACACTGGGCTTGCTTGAGTTTTTGCGCCCAAGGGAAATCGATCCTTTCGTTTTGAGTGGGTTAGGTTCTGTTCGCGCCATTGATGCTGTATGGTGATGTCCTTCCTCCTCCTCAGACTGAATAGTCGAGAGTGATGGTCGAGCAGGATGCTCCCCATCTTTCCTTCTGGACTCGAACATGGTTGATTGAGTACAAGGTAGAGATTATTGCAGGTGGTCAATGGCGAAAGGACTTTCTTGAGTAAAGAGGTATGATCCTGGGCTAAGTAGACAGGCGACTTCACAAACCAAATGGTAGGGGAAAGGAATCAAAATCAAAAGCAACCGGGAGAAACAGCATTTAGGAACAAGATTCTCCATCGCGACGGATACTTGCCTAATAAGACGTCCTTGTATCAAGTTACTCGGCGATGCGATATCAAGGAAAACAGGTCGACCGGTAGTCGCAGAGGTGCGCGAGGTACCATGGTAAAACTGCAGGGTGACGCATTGTCGCAGAATGTATACCAGTGAGGGACTCGATTGACAGCGGACCACGCATCGCTTGTTGAGCAGATCGACAGCCTTGAAGCGAGCGGTTCGCTAGCATGACAAGTCGAGATGGTTGGTTGGGCGTTACTGAAGCTGGAGTGGGAAACAAAAACTTGAAACTTGGATAGATGGCCGCGCAGCAGGGCGCGTCCAAGAGGCGAAGAGACGAATAGGAAAAGTTGCTGTGTCTGACAAAAGCTCTTCATAGAATTTATCGCTTTTTTATGGGTTAACCATCAGGTCAGACAGAAACTGTTCAAATCCGCCTCAACCGTTGCGCCACGGAAAGCCACTTGCACACACCCAAGGTTATTCACCACGCCATGGATGGACGCATTGAATATGATCCAACATCATCTCCTGTTATCTCGAAATCTGCTCGGCATCGAACCAGCCTCTCATCTTCATCCCACGATCCTCAACAAAGCAACCTGAATGGTTCGGGCATGAGAAAAAGAGGATCACCTTATGGCCCTCTGTACCTGAACCTGCGCTTCGTGTGCCTGGCACCACCTGGACGGCACTGCGGGATCCTCAGACGGCTATTCCCAGATCGAGCTTGTCCACCCATCCACCACGCATCTTCTCGCAAACAAGGTCCTCGTTCCCCTGCACGCATCACCTCTCACAACAGACTAATCTCATGCTCGGTACAATATTGATGCCATAACCGTGCAGCTCCTGACTCAAGGTTACCTTCGCGATCCTTCTCCTACTGGCTATACCGAGTCTGTACATGGCCGAGGGCAGCGGACATGGGCTCCCCCCACCCACGTGCTGGCTCGCGTACTGGGATCGATCCAGCCACCGGCATCACCGCTTGGAGCGCTACGATTTGCGGGAACTTTGGGCAACTTGCATGTCGGGGCACAAAGGCACATGTTCACATACTTGAATGTAGTTGGATGGCGCTATATTTGACTGCTGAGCTTGATGGAAGCTTGCCGTCTTGGTGTTGCCTTCCAGGTCGAGCTTGACAGGGCTTACCAGAGCTTGCCAGAGCTTGTCTTGCAGTACATAAAGAAGCCACTTGGACATGCAGAAAATATGTGTCTCCAAGGCCATCTTCTTCTCTGGATTCCGACGAGAAGAAAGAGTCTCGGACTTGCTGACTTGAGTTGCCTGTTTCGAGCGTGACAAGGCTACTTGACCAGTCACAAGATGAAGGTCACTCCGCTTGTGTTGGCGGTACTGGCAAAGGCCATTGAGGCAGCCCCTCAACCTGTCGTTGCCTCGTCAGGTGTTGGTGCTACCACGTCTGACGTCTACCCTCCAGCATCCAGTATGTCCCTCCATCCCTCTTCATCATTACCTCGTAAGAAGAGGTCGCAACTGACGCCTATCTAGCATCGGTCGACCCCTCTCAGTTCCCGCCTGAGTCAGTGGTGCAATTCCCCGGCCCAACAGTGACAGGTCTCGAGCCAGCTGCTGCCCAGACCGCTCCCTTGTACCCGTACAACACTCAAGGGGCTGCCGCCTTTCCTCTGGTTGCTGCTCAGCCTCAGGGATCCAACTCGAGCTCCAAAGTCGACATCACTCGCTTCTGGGGTAACCTGTCGCCCTGGTACTCACTGTCGTCTGCCGACTACGGCTTGCCCAAAGCCAGCCCACTCATTCCAGATGGCTGCTCCATCAACCAAGTCCACCTCCTGTATCGCCACGGTGCTCGGTACCCTACTGGCGGTGCTGCCCCTGCGACATTCGCTTCTAAACTTGCCAATGCCACCAAGGGAGCCGGGTTCCAGGTCTCCGGCGACCTGGCTTTCCTGGCCGACTGGAGCTACAAACTGGGTGCTGAACTCTTGACTCCTTTTGGACGAAGCCAAAACTTCCTCCTCGGATTGTCATACCGACAGTTGTATGGCGAATTGCTCAACAACTTCACTGCTCAAGGAGCTCTCCCTGTCTTCCGCACCGAGTCTCAGGACCGCATGGTCAAGACGGCCGAGAACTTTGCCGCTGGTTTCTTTGGAGTGCCCGAGTATGTAGACCAGGTCAACATTGAGATCCTGGTCGAAACCCCAGGGGTCAACAACTCGGGAGCCCCCTATGAGATCTGCAACAACTCCAACATTGCCAGTCGAGGAAGCATCGGCAGTACTCTCGCAACCAAATTCGCCAACAACGCTTTCAATGCCACCCTGGCCCGTCTGAACTCTCAGGTAATGTTTCTTCCCACTCTTTTCTGAGCTTACATGGTATTAATGGTCGAGCTGTAGGTCTCAGGCAATCTGACCCTGACTCCCACCGATGCTATCGCCATGCTTCAGCTCTGCTCGTACGAGACTGACGCTCTGGGATATTCGGCCTTCTGCCCACTTTTTACGTTGGAGGACTTTGAGAACTACGAATACTACTATGATTTGGTAAGCTCACTCCACCCTGCCCAATGTAGACACAGTGGTCGCCTAACCTTTACTCAGATGTTCTACTACAACAACGGCCCCGGCTCTCCGGTTGCTGCTGCTCAGGGTAAGGGCTACCTCGCCGAGTTTGTCTCTCGATTCACCCACACCTATCCCGCCGCGCTCTCTGCTCTCAACGAGACATTCGACAACAACCCGACGGATTTCCCTCTGAATCAATCCATCTACGCCGACGCGACCCACGAGGTGGTTGTCCTCGACACCCTCACTGCCTTCAACCTTACGGCGCTGTTCAAGGGACCTCCTTTGAGCGGTAGCGGCAACCAGGGGCAGAACAACTTTGTTGCTAGCAAGCTCGTCCCCTTTGCCACTCACTTTACTGCCCAAGTGCTCGAGTGCCCCGCCATGACCCCCACCAAACAGATTCGGTTCATCGTGTAAGTGTTATTTTTCTTTGGCACCAATTTTTTCTGGGCGAAAACATGGGTATCTGACTTTGAGGGTGATAAACAGCAACGACGCCGTCATTCCCGTCTCCGACTCGCACCCGGGGTGCCCTGTCGACCCCAACGGTCTATGCCCCTTTGACAACATGGTCAAGGTGCTCCAGCAGCGCCTCAACGAGATCGACTTCAACTACGACTGCTTTGCCAACTACACGGCCTCGGCAGGTGTCAACTACAACGGCCGAGCGCCCCATGGTGCCACGTCATAGAAGGAAAATGTAAATAGCCTCGATAATGTGTGAAAGTGACCAAGACAAAAGTAATGTGGTGGCGGCGGGCTCGGGTAATGGTTGCTGATGGGCCTAGGGTTCTATATATGGGACACACATTCATAGACCCTGAAAGGTTCACAACAAGCGCAAGTTGACCGATACGGCAGTGCATACCAGAGTACATAGTAGATGTTGAATCAATCATAATGAGCAAAATCAAGGAGTTTGAACTGAACTGAAATGATTTACATATGAGGTATACTATCACGACCGTCCAAATGGTGTGCTTAGTGTATTGCGCGCGAGGGGATAGAGGGCCCGGAGCCAACGAGCCGTTCCGGCTGACGAATATTCAACTGCTTCCATGTATATAAGCTGCTAAGCAGGTGATAGTGATAGACGCTCACTCCATCACCTTGTAATTAGGTACATACATAATGGACTTTCCTGTTTGTAAAACTCCTTTTTTCCTGTTTATAAAACTCCTTTTTATTGTTTTTTATACCGTTGGTTTCTATTCTCTTTATGCATTCCCCAGGGGTTCCCTTCCTGCCTTCCTCCGTATCCGACGCCGTTCACCGTTTCGTTAGAAAAAACAAACAAACAAACAACTGCTCTACTTGTGGAAGTAATACTCGTAGACATGTCCGTGTCAATCAACGTCCCGTGCTCCTGTTCTCCTGCGCCGCGCCAGAAACTCCTCATGTCGTGTTTCTCATGACCTCGCCCGCTCAAATACATGACGCCTAGAAAGGGTGGGCGGATAGATGGATGAACGGTCGTAGAAGTCCATCCCGCCAGAATTCCGTGCCCGTAAACGAACGCCATACCATCACTCCCGCTTCGCGCCACTGACATGACAAAAACCAAGAATCATGTCCCTTCCTTGTAAATACATTACTCCCCAGTCCTGTCAATTCTGACCAGAGGTGACCGTCCGCTCCAGAGCCCGACCCGATTCTAGAAGATGCCAGCCTCCATCAAAACGCCAAATGTGCCGACCGTCTCAAATCCAGCGCTATGCGTTTCTTCTTGTTGCCAGTAAGAACCCAAGATCAGGCATAGGCATATTCGTGGTTGTGGTCACCATTTTCGTCATCCAACACAGTAACATCAACCACGTCCGAAACCCTTTCCCCAGCAGAATTGTCCAAACAAGGCACGATCGACTTGACCACAGTCACCTCGTTGTTCTTCTCCCTCGGAACAAACCACAACTGAAAAACGCCAACGATGGCAACAAACCCAGCAAACCACCACGCCAGACCAGTAAACCCAATATTGGAGCCCCATTCATACAAGAGACCGGCAATCGGCGGCGCCACAGTCCTGCAGGCCGCCCCGGCCGAAGCGGCCAGACCATTGATACGTCCCAGGTAGGCAGGCGATGGACTCGCCTGCTTCAGTAAGATCAAAATTACTGGGTAATCGAGGATCGAGAGGAAGTTGCGGATGGTCAGGCAGGTATAGATGCCCGGGTAGAGCAGGTGTGACGGAAGAAGTGCTAAGTATGGAACAATGAAAAACGCCACTGGATGCAGAATCGTGACAAGAACAAACACGCGCCAAATACCAAGACGCTCGGCGGTAAAGGGGAAAATGACCGCTTGAATGAACAAAGCGATAACGCCGTTGACGGACATGATCACTCCGACATCTCGCGTGGACAGCCCAAGGCCGCCTGGGATATCCACCAGACCACTAGCTGCGATGGATATTTGGTTGACAGCCTTGTCCTGGTAGAATATGGGGAGGAGATGATCATAGCACATCGAATGGTACGTGTAGATCGAGAGAGCAAGCGTCAGCATCACGACCTTTTTAGTAAGCCATTTGGGGGATGTCTTCTCGCTTATAGAGGGCTCGCGCGAGGTCCCGTCGGCGTTGACCTGCCATTGATCATTCTTCTGGACGTCGATCTCATTGAACGTCCCGTACGATTCTTGCCTCAGATCAACGGCATTATCAGCAGTAGCACCTGCGGCAGTGATGATACGGGTTTGTTCGGCGATATTCTGGTAGACGCTGGAGTCGCGCGCACCAGCAAGGTCGGGATGAGTTTCTCTCAAATACAGGTAGCCATTGAGAATGCTAACAAGCATGAGCAAAGCGCAGATGAGGTTCGGGAGAAGCCAAGGAAATTGACCAAAAAGCCCTTGTTTGGAAAAGGCATCTGGGTAGGACGCTGCAGGGTTGGCAAAAATGCCGCCGATTGCAGGTCCAATAATTGTACCAATGGCCCATACGAATGGCATGATGGCATATGCCTTGGGCTCCCATTCTGGTTTGGTCGTGAGCTCTCCGACCATAGTTTGTATCACTCCTATTCATCCGTCAGCTTCCAGCTTTTGATCCATAAGATGGCGAGGTGCGTACCGATGTTTCCATTGAGCGCACCGCCGAGGATTCTCCCGGAAAGAGCCATGGTGAAGCTGGTGGAAAAGCCCACAATCAAAAGTGAAATCATTGTCCCAAAGCAGCCAAAGAGGAGAACTGGCCTTCTTCCGATGCGATCCGAGAGTCCTCCCCATAGTAACGAGCAGAGAGCTTCGGTGAGGGAAAAGGAGGCGATGAGAACGCCGGCCCAAAAGGACGCGTCAGCCATACCGAATTGCTTGACCATCAGCCAGGCATATGGGAAGATGGAGGTAACGGCAACGGGCTCCGCGAGACGACATATTGCTGGCAACGGTGGTCAGCCAGTTGGTCCCTAGAATTAAGGCTGCAAACTCACCTAGAACGAGGAATTGACCGGTCGGGAAGGTATCTTCCGCGGGAGATTGGTTCTTTGCTCGTGTAAGTCCCAACATCCTCGAATATGCCCAATGTCTTACGACCTGTCCTCCTCTCTGCAACGTTAGAGTCACAGCACCAGGCAGTCAATGGAGGATGTGTGATGGCAGGTGAACACAGATGCTACCGTCGAAAGAGAACGATAGGAGTCGACACAACGGTTTTAACGGCAGAATGATGGGCTAGAAAGAAGTGAGAGAAGAGCAGGAAGAGTTGGCAGGAAAGTCAAGAAGAAATTGAAGAGAAGAGAAGAGATCAATAAAGACGGTGAGGTGGAGGCGTGACAGACTGGCAGCCACCAGAATTTGGCTTTGCAATCCGTAGGCGGAGATGCCTTCCGAGTGTTGAAGAAACCGTGGGAAAAAGACACAACACGCGTGTGGAACAGCAATCGAGATTCAAAAATGGGTTTCTGACTGTCATACAACCGAGGAGCACCTCTCACACAACAGAGAAGCTCGAATCCGTGGTCAACATTCAGGCAGTGGCGAGACCTGGCGGTTTCTGCTGCAAGCAACCATGCGATGGGGAAATGAATACATGAACTGTGTGTGATGCATGGCGAGTCAGAAGTGGATTTTTGGTGGCTGCCATTGTGCGAATGACTTGCCATTGTCTGCTCACCGCCCGGAAGAGAGCGGGCGGTGAGTACTGTAGGGATATTTCATTGGTGAAAGGGAAAACAATCGGGCGAGATAGCGGCATCCTGGCGCTGAATGCCACATCGTGATTTGCCCGGAGATCGATCATTTTGTACGCCTGCTGAGCCGCTAGCCGGAGACAAAATGCAGGGCTCGAGGCGGCTGCTAATGTAGGGAAACCAATTCAATTTCACTCACAGTCTTGGTCGGGCCCTTCCAACTACCATCGTTCACCACACACCACCACCGCCAGCGTCCTAAAGCAGGTACAAAATCCAAGAGAGTTCCCCACCGTAGAACACTCGGAGTTGACGGGATTGTTGGACATACGAGTCACAGTATATCAGGTGAGCAAAGTATGTTACATCGAGATCAGCAGGACGGAACTGGTTTTATCGATGTGCACATATTTCATCTAAGCATGTGTCTATGACTAACAGAAAACGACATCGTAGTCCAGACTTGGGATGGATCACTGTTTATCTGAGTGAAGGGTCGTCGTGGAATGTCCCAGACCTCTCACTCCCAGAATTCGTACTTGTACAACTAGGGAAGTGTCCCTCGACTGGACAGCGGGGATGATCAGAGATCCCCATGACTTGTCTGCCGGCAGTATTTTGCTGCATCCCGGACTGTGATGGAGGGGCACGAGAGGTTGTCGCAAAGACCCACGCCGACAGCCGAGACTAACTTCGGGTTAAAGACAGTAAAAAACACCGAAGCACAGCCGGTCAATAGTAATGGCGGATAGACTTTTCCTAATACAGTATAGCACGAGACGTTCCTGAGAGCCTCGTCAATCTCTGTCAGCCTTGTCATCGCTCTATATCACTTCATCCCTTCCTCCCTCCTGGTGCTCCTCCGTCTCTATGGCCTTCTCTTTTCTTTTTTGGAGCCCCAGCTCAGCCTCTCCTCGCAACACCTTGATCAACATCATCGCCCGATCTTGTCCCGCCGCTGTCTCCTTCCCCAAATCATAGACGACATTGACAAGAGCCAATGCAGCCACAAACACACACACGTCGCCTCCGCGAATGCCTCTCCACCATCGACGTTTGACACCAACTTTCCACAGAGAATCGACACTTGTGCGCGCTGCATACAAGGAATTCGCATGACCAGCTGTAGTTTGGTCGAATATTTGGAACATCCCGCCTAAAAACCCGCCGAGGAAAAACCGGAATTTTGGCATCAACGAGCGTGGCAAGATAGCTTGGAACAGACATATACTTCCCCAAGCGGCACCAATCCAGCCAGACACGGCTATCGCGGACCTCAGCACGGCTTCGGACAGCCCGTTGAGCGATGATAGTGGTGCTTTGATGATCTGTCTTAAACGCAGCAGCGCCAGCGCCCCGTAGTACTTGGTAAAGAACTTCGCGAGCTGTGGGAACGAAATCAACATGTGCCTTATGTAGGCCATAAAGCACGACGGGTCCGAAGGGTGGAGAAGCGCACACGATAGATGCTGGATGCCTAGGTGTGCTCGTGATGTGATGGGTGAGATGACGGTATCGATCCCTATCGGCAGCGTCTGCGCTTCATTGGGGTGGAGGATTGGCGACACAAAATTCGGCCATCTTAATTGTGCCATTTGTGCAAGGGCATCCAGAATATTGCCGGATGTCGGCCACACAACCTTTGGTGAGATGCTCGTCGGCCGACGCTGGATATATTCGGGGGTATATCCAAGGACGAATGACCCATATGCTTCGGGAACGCAGTCGCGATCGAACACAAACGCGTGAAATAACTGCCCCTGTGCTAGAGCAAATAATACCCAACTCCCCAGCCAGGACGGCTTGTTCTTGATCAGCGCCGTGTGCTCGATGGCGGCGTATCCCAGTTCGAGAGCTCGACAGCCCACATATATTGCAAGCGTGATCCGGAGCTGGTCCGCAGGACAGATGCCCAGCGCAAAACCCGACAGACTGGCCCCGAGCGCCGGTGCAATGCGGGACGTAAGTGTTGCGTAGATCCGTGGATACCGCTCACGGATATCTCGCACCTTTTCGTGCAGCAGTTGGAGTCTGAGTCTGGCGAAGATGCGATAAAGCGTGGCGTGGAAAAACAGGAGTGATGATAGAGAAAGTGCCATCCTCGATTGTGATGCCACGAGGGGTTTTCTCGAACCGGTGGCTGTTGGGGACCTGCGAGCTGCAAGTCGGCCTAAGATGGCGCTGAGAAGTTTGAGAGAGCCAAAGGTGACCATGAACACTCGCGACGCGGAGCGGAAAGCTGCTGCTCGATGGTCATCGCGGAAAGTGACTGTTTTCGACTCGTTGTCCTGCTTGTCACCTTTCGGACCACGCTGTGTTCGTGCTGACGTTCTCGACAGCAGTCTGCGTAGCAATTCGTACTCTCGCTCATTCACCACCAGTCGTATGGGAAGCTGGTCGATCGCCATGTCGCACCCTCCTATCAGTCCCCCAATGGTCCCTCCGTGAGTTGGCCGAGGCTGACGCGAAGAAGGTGTCCCGCTCCTGGCGAACAGAGCTTCGCGACGTGTTCAACGTTGGCCTTTCAGCCCCGTCGCACCCCTGCGCGGTTGTTCCGAGATCGTGATGCGGCGGACTGCTCGGGGATCTCAGAGTTGGCAGTCGATGAGTACAAATGGCGACGACTGGTTATGATGAGTGAGAGGTTGATGCCAATGACGCGATTGATGTTGGTTTCAATCGAGATGCCTCGGTCTGATATTGACGACAAAGTACGAGCTGACACGTGAACAAAGACGCAGCTCGGCAGCCACGGTTTCTTACTCTGCACTAGCCCTACGCTCAACCATATCGAAGTTCAGATGCAACGCTCCGAACTGACAACCTCGATCGTCCTTGACGTTCCCTTTCCGCAGGTGTGCCTGCGACGAACTATGCCTGCGTCCTCCTGGGCTTTCTAGATCATGAATCCCTTGACTTGCCTCCTCTCCCTCATCAGCCTCTGCCTCATCTTAGTCGAGCCAGTCCTCGGCGCGAAATCGACTGCGACGTCGTTTTGCAAATGCATCTGCTTCAACAACAGCACGATCATTGCGCTGAACCCACCGCCTTCTTCGACGAGCGCCTCCGCCGCGCATAACCTGGCCATCCGATCTCCCCACGCACTGGCAGCGGAAACCTCTGCAGATTCCAGCGACGACTCCGACGGAGGGAACGGGCCCGCGGCTCCCTCGCACCCACACCGTAAACTTGCCTGCGCCGACTGCACGCGGGCGTTTTGTCTCGATTACAACCTGCCGATCTGCAAGGACGCGCGGGAAGAAGATGTCTTTACGACCTGTTTCCGTGTGTTTTCCCCCCTTCACCACGTCTCTTCTGCCCCCTCTCATTTTCATAACTTGGACCGGAACACATGTCTCGCCCTGACTAACTAATTTTGCATTGCTACCAAAAGAACGAGACTCTCTCAAAGACGAAACAGTCGTCGTTATATTTGTCTTCGCCACAGCCGGTCTGTTGGCCTGGGCCGTGGTGAAGCCCTGGATCGATCGAGTGAGGGAAAGAAACACATTTGTGCCGCTGCTGCAGCACGACCGAGGAACGGGCGGCTCGCGACACTATACTTCTACTAGTCCACGCGGGCAAAGAAATTCCAGAGGGACTCCTCGCGCCGGTGGCCTCGGGGTCGGCACAAGAGGAGGGGAACCGGGTGAAGAGGACGACGGTCTTGCCGGCGGGAGTGGACACGGTGACAGTAATGGCAAGCGACCACAACGAGGTGGTGGCCGAGATGTTGGACAATCTTCCACTGCCCACGCCCACGCCCACACCACTTACGATGACGAGAACATGCACGCCGACCAAGATGCAATGGACATAGTCTCCAGCATGCCATCAGGATCCGGCTCCGGCTCTCGCCCTTGACATCTGGCATTTGACGTTTAAAAAAAAAGGCACAAAACACACAAGGCATTCATTTTGTTCCCTTCCATGAGCGAAAGTGCACAAGTGCTGTTTTGCCTTTTGGTCTATTCGCCCATCCATCCGTTCTGACCATGGCAGGAAATATCGCTCGCCTTTCGCTGTCTCCGTCTCGTCTCTGTCTCTGTCCCCCCAGACGACGTCCCCCTCCACTGTACCTAGGTACATGACGACCTCCCCCTTCCTGGGCATGGCAATTAATACGGTCGCTCCCCTCGAAGTTGGAGGTCTGGTGAATCAAAATCATAGACAAGTCCATTTGGTGTCTCGCGTCTCCCTCCTGGTGACCATGGGCAATACATGAAGCAGTTTACAAAAATCATTATGTATTCGAGGACCTGTCTGCTCTGTGGCGCCCGGTACATGCCCCCTTGCCTGTGGCTATTCACTGTTCCATCCCAAAGAGTGGACGGTCCTCACTAGCACTTTTTGCAAGCACTCTCGCAGGCCGACAAGCAGCACGAATGGCTCATATGGAGCATATTAACACTTGCCAACAAGTTCACCTTTGTTTTCCATGTTTTCTTTTTCCCGTCATGTCATCCAAGGCACGCCCAGCTCCAACTCAATCTCGAGACATAATTTTCTAACCAGCCCATTATGCCCATCCAAGGCCCGCCATTTTTTGAAAATCCCCGTGCTATGCTGTAAAAAGAACACCGCACATACACACACATGAAACAAATCCCGCCTGCTGTAACGCTGTCATAGCCATGTCCATGCAGTTTTCATTATTTTGCGTCCGTCTCCTAAGGTGTCTCGTCTTCATTTGGAAGAAATCAAGAACCCGACGCGTTCGCGGGTGAGAACATTCCCCTCGGTGATCGATTCTTTCAATCCCACGGATTCCCAAGCGGTAGAGTTCGCCATGCGTTCTCTGTTGGAAATGCGGGACACGTACATCTTTTGACGACGGGCTTCACGTTCACTGACGATATCCGCCATGAGTTTCGTGGTGGCGGCATCTCGGATTGTCGGAGCTTGGATGAAGTTGTTGAAGATGTTGAGATTCTCAAAGTCCACATTCAAGAGGATGTTGGAGGCTACTGTATCTCTGAAGTTGGCTGCGGGTGGTAGGATCTCCGATTGCGGTGACGAGGGTGACATATCCGCCGATGAAGGCATAGAGCCAAATACCATGGAAGCGAGTGCTGGATTGTGTTTTGGGCGACCATCATCCAGCTGAGGCAGGCGAGATGGGATGATGGTACCAGCAGTAGAATTAGTATCGAGTTTGAAGTTCTTGATATCGATGTGAGTGGCCAAAAATTGCAAGATGAGCTTGATGATGGCGCTGCTGGCGATGAGATAGTCTGATCCAGTCATGTTCTTCCCATGTGAGGGCATTGGTGAGGTGGCAAGCTCCACGGCAGCTCGGTAGGTAATTTCCAAGATGTCCCAATCGAGATAGTTGGCTAGAAGTCTCTCAGCACATATGGAGACTGGTTCAAGGCCGAGTTCGATACCAGAAACCCAGTAAGACAGGAGATACTCAAGGTTGTGCACTCTCACCGCCTGAAAGTCAGCACCGGGATGTGGTTGGGCGAAGAAATCCTTCCCCAAAACTGTATCCGAGTAGAAGAAGCGTAAGGCAGCTTCGAAAGCGTGAGCCATAATCGGCCGAGCAGGATAGAGGCTGATAACGTTGCTAGGGTAATTGTTATTGGCCTGCTGTTGGCGAGTCACCAGCCTCCTCAAGCGCAAGCTGCGGAATAGGAGGACAGAATGACAGTAGCTGACAAATGGCTGCGCGTTGACTGGGTTCACTTGAAGCAGAATATCGACTCCTTCTTTTGTTGCATTGAGGAGAAGCAGATGCTCCTGAAGTGAAGGGAGAGCGTTGAATGTTCTTGGCACATTCGCAGGCGGGGCATAAGAGGTGATGGATGATCCGTGGTAACCATTGACTGCTGGATCACGGATTCCGTCTCTGAATGCCAGAGGGGGCGGCGCGCTTTGGTGTCCAGAGTTGGCCTCTTCTGGCTGCGCCGTAAACACACCACTCTCGGCCACCGCTGGCTCTGATGACCCGGTGCCGTTCACATAAATGGACGTGGCGGTGGGCTCAGCTTCTTCACTGTAAACTGGACCTGGACCATCGAGCTCCAATTGGTTATTGTCACTTCCTTCAGCTGGGCGCCCCGGAGAATCAGGCAGTTTGCCATTCGCAAGGGCGATGACTTCATGTCCATCTTCAGTGTCAGTTGCAGGGAGTTCCTCATTAGGTACAGCACCCGTAACATTCGCTGAGACAGACACTGCGCTAACATCATCTCCACTTTGTTCATCACCATTTGCAGCTGCAATATCTTTCTTATCATTATCCTGATTGTCTTCATTGTCAGGATGTGCTTCCGGAGTGAGTTCCTCGGTCGTGGCAGAGTGAGAGGGCTGGGGGGTAACAGATTCTGAACCTACAATGACAAGTCAGTGGAGGGAGCATAGAATCTCTGTAAGTTGGCTGACCTATGGATGGGGACATCATTTTCTCTCTAGAGAGTCCATCCCGAGATACATCGGAATAGGCCATGTCGGTCCCAGACTCTGTGTCCCTCGGAAGCTTTTCATTGTCGGTCAGAGACTGAAGTGCTGCTGGTTCCGCGTCTCCCTTCTCCGGTTCGCGCTCCACTGTGATTGCCTTTGGCTTCTGAGATTTGGATCCAGGAATCAAAGGCAGCGCTGGTTGCACTATGCGATGGTGCGACTTCCTGACCGGTTTGCTGGTTGCGGAATTAGAGGCCATCGTGACTGAGAAACAACGGTCCGTTCGACGATCCCAAAGCTGCGACCATGGAGATTTGACGGAGTGAACAGGGAGAAGCAGGAGTACAGGGAAATGATTGATCGGGCCAGAGCGATCACCGCTGGAGGAGACGAGGAATTTGCACGGCTGTAAAAGCGACAGTGAACAAGAGTGATGATGTCGGCTGTCTTTCCAAAACGAAAGCCTCGGAGGGGCAATAAATGTCACCTTTGGATTTTCGGCGACTGCTTTCCCTTGTTGGGGTGCAGGCTATCAACTCCGCACTTTCTAGCCAAGGCGATCGGATCGGATTATCTATATCGCCGCAGGTCCGACACAACCAACACCAACAAACAGCAAATGATACAAATGGGTCACAAGCTGGTGAGGGTGAGCAGGCTACGCTTAACCACTTTGAGCACGAAAAGTCTGTCCCTTCGATCGTCAGTGGTCTCAATGAGTTCATTATCTTGTGCTTCCTCCTACAAAGGCATGAGGATCAGTCAAGACTTCAGATGTCTGCTCAGTTCTACCGGAATTATCCTTCCCAAGTCCTCTCAAGAGACCAATCCCACATGGCGGCCACAGTCCTCACAACTACCTTTCTCGGTGGAAATCAGTATACAAAGTATTGATAATCACAGCCTCAACATTGAGCAAGAACATCATGCAGCTACTTGGCTTCTGATATCTGACTAAGCCACTTTGTTCCAGAGGATCCAAGATCTTGAGGAATCATGAGCACGCGACACATTTCAAAAACAGAAGGTGCAAAGCCCCTCGTGTGCGCACCGGGTACCCATGTACAGAGCAAGTATCGACAGTTGACCATCTAGGGATATTGCTGCATTGAGAGACGGCATCACAACAGGATGATACCATCAGCAGGTGGAGAAGACCGTCTGTTGGGAAATTGCATGGGCTTATGGGACCTTTATACAGCTGTGATTCATGAAGAGCAGGCTTACTCATATGGAATAATTAAAGAGTCCGGAGTGACCAGCCGAAGTTCAATGTCGCAAGGTGCAGAGACAACCCTTCCCCACCAAGACAGTGACGGTTCCGACTGAACAAGAAGAGATGGGTTTGAATGAGGCACAAGGTACATACCTAGGACAGGTACCGAGTACATGGTAAGAGTCAATGGAATCGAGCGGCTATCTGAGGGAGTGGAATCGCTTGAGCCATGTGGCAGAAGCAGCGAAATTGGTCTGTGTACAAGTGGGACAATAGCCGAATGTGACGGTGGTGGATGCTGCTGGGATGCCTGTCATCGCTGTCAGGTGGCCCTTTGAGATTTAATAAATGATTGAGATATCGATATCCAGGTCTACAGTGGGCGTACGGGTCCGAAGTTGAGGCCCATAGCTCGTACGTGGTGCATTGCGAATACTTGGTACTCGTACTCAGGCTTGTCGGTATGAATCGGCAAGTCAATAATCGTTGAACGTGAAGTGGTCGTGGTTTATGACGTCGTGCAGTAATTTGCTGGCAGATTGGCGGCGTCAGGCCAGAAGCTGTAGGCGGGACTCTCGAAAAAATCCCAAGTCGCACTAACCACACCCCAACCAAAGCATGACGGTGGAGAGACGGGCCTGTGCTAGAGACGCGAGAACGCGTCCATGGGAAATGATTGTTTACATCTCATCGTGTTCGTGACGAGCTCGGCTTCAAAGTCAAAGTCGAGATTTGACAACGAATGGAGCTCCTCTAGTGGTTTAGGAGCAAGAGGGCTTCAATGCAAGGTCTATTGTTTGCTATACAAGAGCACAAAAACGGAGAAACCCCTCATCAACTGCCAGTATGCAGAAGGGAGGACTTCTGCCCGTTTCAAGCGATGCCATTGGTGGTGCTGAGGCGTTGAGAGGAGCAGAAAATACCACACAAATAGAAGACAACGGGCCACTGGTTTTATCCAAAGTCAATTCGCATCACAAGAGCCACAGTATCATTGGTCCGAATCGGGGAAAAGCACGGCATAAGGGCGGGTGAGCCAGGCGGGGTCAGACAATCTCGCACTCAGGGGCAAGGCCCATGGATCTGGTTTTCATTGGACCTCAGACCAAGCCGGGCAAGCCTCGTCAAGGCCTGGAGGCCAGCCATAAGGTTATTCCCGAGCGTTCCCCCCATGTGGCTTACAGTTGGGGGCAGCAACGGCGCCTACTAGTAGGGCTAGTAGGGGGCTTTTAGCCAGTGACCAAGGGTCCCGCTGGGTGTCCCGGGGTTGTTTGGCCCAATAGCCAGTGCGATATTCTCACACCGGCACCAAAGCCGCCCGTGAAGGCAAGGTGCCTAACAAAAACTTGACGAGCCAGTCACACCTTGGGATTGAGTGTGATCCGAAGAAAGAACCCGAAGCCTGGCAAACATACTGAGAAGGTACTCCGTACCTCGTACTCATTCGAGTAGATAACTCGTGCTTGTAGAGACGAGGGGACATGCTCATACTCGCAGGTACCAGGTCAAGCTGGATTTCAGGAGACGGGACGCAGCCGAAGGATTCGAGGGGGCTTACCCGGTATCTACGAGTACAACTACAGAGTGTTTGCTACCTGCTCCTTCCCCCAAGTCCCCTTGCCCCCAGTGGCCCCCTTTCCCTTCCCCTCATTGCATACCTACTGGGTAGATGTCTTGCTTGCTGTTCTCTTGTCCCATGTGGCTAACCGCCCGGAGCTTCCCAGACTCCCGTTTGGCGGTGCATGTTCCCGAAACGGACCGCCCAAAAGTCTCTCTGGTCAGGTACAAAGTACTCGTTATGGCACGAGGGACAACGGGTGATGGCACTGCGTCTACTTGGAACCTTAGTCTCCCCTTGTCTCCCCAATCAAGCAACCATCACATCAATCTGCGACACGCTAGACAAGTCTTGCTGCTCTCCAAGCCAAGTACTCCGTAAACCAGCTCTTACGCTCTCTCTCCGTTTCCCCTTTCGAATCTGCCCATCTTCGTCATGGCCTCTTTTTGGTCCAGGGCCACCGCTGTTCTTTTTCCTCTGCCGCTTCCGCATCCGCTGGTTTGGTGTCCAGCCACAATTTCACCTGCGACATCCTTCTATCCCATGCTCACCAGGCAATCGTGAGATCGTCGCTTCTCGTCCTTGATTGCTCTGCCAACCGTGTAACCTGTCCAGGTGATCATCACTGGTTCTTCTCCTGTATTCCGTGACTCGAGTGCTGCTACCCTCGTACTACCCGCCTCCCTTGATATTCCCTTCTGGAGGCTTGATATTAATGTCGACATTTTCTCTCTCTCTGCTTTACTGTCTGAGTTTGGCATCTGTCGAGATCTACCTCCCCTCAAAACTCTGTTTCGACACGCATTGTTTGATTAGCTCTAGCCTTGTCCGCCTCGCCTGGCTAGTCTGCTTCAGGTTGCCCACTTTTTTTCATCTTCCGTTTGCTTTAAAACGGCCGATGCAGTGGGACCCAACGCCGCAGGACTGGGAACCTTCTGTTAGGTTCAACGAGCATACCCCATAGCCCGGTCTCATACTCGTATGCAGATCCCTGAGGGGGGTTTGCTCTTTCGTTGTACTCGACTTTGGACGTCTTGTTCAGCCCTCTGAAATCTCCGTCAAATCTTGTTCACCGTGTCAACCCTGCTTCTTGTCTGTTGCACGCGTTGACCCTGCTTCGACCCTGGACCTGGACGTGCTCCACCACCGAAAAGCGCATCACACACGCTCGCACGCACGCACACTTGGAACCTTCCTTTTCCCACGATTGGCCTTCTTTCAGCCTTCTCACCGTTCAAACTACTGCGACTGCCGGCAAGGGGGTTTTTCGCTCTTTTTCAGAAGCTACGCTCGCTATTCTTCTCGGCTGGTCCAGCAATCCCTTCCTTGTCCGGAGTATCAATCATCGGATCGCGACGCAGAGTGCTACCCGTATCAGCCTCCTGGTTCGATATCGCTGTCCTGCAGGCCTCGTTGCGGGAGAAAGCTTCTCTATCTGACTGCAGCCCAGCCTGCGGCTTTCGTTCCCCCCTCCACCCTGGTTCCTCAACCCGGTCGACCTAGACGTCAAAAAGTCTTGTCCATGCTGACTCCGACCCTAGAATTGCGACGCGCTCTTCGCCTTGACTTCTTCCTGCACTGATGGACTGTTGAACACGTTCATTTGCCTTCGACATCTCTCTGCCACTCTTTTCAGATCCAAGAAGATCAGACACCACACTCGTTTCCAGCATCAGCACTGCACATTGTCTTGAAGAGCTCCTGTGCCATAACCGTCTCAGATACATCTACCCTGGCCGACAACCCCTTCCTGCGACACCTGGAGAGGGCATTGCTCCAAGAGGAGGTTACCAAAAGACACCCAAGATACCCTCAGTCGTTCGTTTTCCTGTCGTCTTCGCAGACCACTCATTTTGAGATCAAACTCCCACGCCCTCGACGGGTCTTACTGACTGGCGCTTGACGGGCTCAATCGCCAACACCGGGATACTCCCACGTGTTCCCTCGATATTACTTCATCTCACCTGGTGTCCTTACCTAGTATCTTTCTAGATGGAACGATCATAGTCCGCCATTTTGGAAAATCATTCCTTTATATTCTGTATGAACTGAGCGGTACTCCTCGCCCTGGTTGTCCTTGGCTAATTGATTGACTAGTCAACTCACCCGATACACTCTTTACATCTGATCATTTCCTTTCCATTCGCCATGGCGGTCTTCAAGAAGAAGCCAAAAGCCAAGGATGATACCTACATCATTCCTCCAGCTGCATCGTCGGACCCAGCGCTGCCGGCAAAATTGTCTCGCAGTTTGAAGCGCAAACCGAAGAATGTGGTGGAGCCGAAGCCTGAGATTGACCTTACGACTGTGCTTCCAGATAAAAATGACTTCCGGACCAGTCTACTCATGCCTGGGTTGTCGGCTCGCTTCAGTATGCTCCGGGAGCAGGACGACCCAAATACCAAAGTTGGCAAGGCGAGCGACGACAGTGTTTTGTTCCCCAAGAGAGCATCTCGGCTGAATCTGTTCTCTCACAATCCTCTCA